TACAGTATGCACATCGGTCCGTTTAGTGGACTAACCGCATGTATCCCCTATACGGGCGTAAGCCTATAGGCTGGGAAAATCTGTATGCACGTCAATAGGTTAGCCTATCCTGTATGGATTTTCGCGTTTAAAGTTATCGCACCTCTGGGAGTCCAATTGCGGGCTTAAATAAACGCGTGTAAAAATGGCTTGTACTTTTGTTTTTTCAAGCACGACAACGGCGTCTTCTACAAAGAAACATGATTTTCAGGGACCGTACTAAATCCCTTCGACACGTACAACGACAGAGAAGTGTTTGGCAAGAAGTGTTTCGCAAGTTTCGTCGAGAGCACATCCTGAACCTGACACTACACGTGAGGTGTCATCACTCTCGCGAATCGTGGATTCACCTTATTATACTCCCCTGCAGTGTGGGGGGTTGGCGGGTGCTCTGGTGTGGTTTGCTCCTTCTTTCCTATCAAACAACTATCGTCTTTATCTCTCCTCCTTCTTTTTTTTTGTTTGTTGCTCTCTCGATACACCTCTAATCTTCGGCATTTATATGACCTTATTGTGTTGAAAGTTCGGTAAAACACACTAAAACTAAATAAAAACTCTCCTGCAGCAAGTGCTCGTCACTTTGCGCTACTGGGCCAAGTCAACATTATTTATTTGTCCCCAACGATTGACAATATGTGAGGCATCATGATGAAATCAGGCGATCGTCGACTACAATGAAATCAAACAAACTAGCGTTTTTTTCTGACCGTTGTGCATTTTTTTTTCTAATTTTCTTCTTTTTTTTTTCTTTTTGGCTCAATACCTTTTATGTCCATTATAAGCACCTTTTGTGTGGATTTTATTGATCAAAGGCACAAAAAAGGTATATTTACAGTTTCCAAGGACTCTCAAGCAATGGAAGAGACCAAATTTTGGCGACCATTTTCTCGTTAATTTCACCTCTGAAACCAGGAGACCCTGACCTCCTTCAATTCGAAAAATCTCGACTTCTGTTGAAGATAGATGGATACCCGGTAGGCTACTTTTTTCATCGAAAGCAAGACAAATGAACACTATTTTTAAGATGATACAATAACTCAATGAGCCCAAAATTTGACGAGAGCCTGATTCCATCGCGTCGTGACACATATCACTTCTTCGAAGGGCACTGGCACTGGTGTTTGCCCTCATTCTGTTTTCGCCTTGTCTCTCTATTTGTTGAGAACCGGCGCTTCTTTCAGTGCTTTCTATATATATTTCTCTTTCACTTTCATATCCCCAGTTCGCACTGCCACGCCGAATGTGGCCACCTTCGATGCTATTCTCTGCCATTATATTATATCTTTCTTCATCTCACTCTTTATGGTGG